CATTGGTTTTTGGCTAAATTCAAAAATAATTAAGACAAAAGATTTCATTTGTGGTAAAGTTGGTTTCAAGAAAGAATTGAATAACAATGTGATAGTGAAGTACAAAAGAGGAGACACAAGGATTGATTGTCCAACCATGATCCGATATGTCGTCGATGTCGAAGGTAACTGATCGGTTAAGAAATTTATAGAGAGTCATAACCATCATTTGGCGGCGGACGGTGAAAACATCTATTATGTTCCAATAGAAAGATGAGTGATATTGATGCACAAGTGCTGAGATTGATGACACAATCAGAGATTAGAACAAGCGACATATTTAGTTTTCTAGCTACAGATTCGGGGGTGTGGAAAATGTTGATTGCACAAAGAGGGATGCTTATAATTTCATACAAAGAGAGAAAAAGAAAATTGAACATGAGGACGCTAATTCTCTTCTAATTCTCTTCTACGAATTCTCTTCTACGATTGTTCACTGAGAGGCAAGCTGAGGATACGATATTTGCATGAGACGTCTAGCGACGTCTAGCTTGATGAGTCTGGTAGCTTGTTGAATTTCTTTTGGAGTGATGGGATATCCAGACTCGATTATGATTGCTTTGGGGATGCCATAATATTTGATACAAGCTATAGACTAAATAAATACAATTTATGTCGTGCTCCTATTGTCCTCCTATTTGTCGTGCTCCTATTGTCGGTGTGAACCACCACTGACAAAATGTTCTATTTGGAGTTGGCTTTTTGTCACATGAAACAATTTACTCATTCAAGTGACTATTTAAATCATTTATCTGAATAATGAATAACAAGCATCCGATATCAATATTCACTGACCAGGATCAAGCAATGACTAGAGTCATTGAAGAGTGTTTCCGCACACCAGACATAGATTATGCCAATGACATATTTACAAGAAATTGTCTTCAAAATTCCATTGTGGTGTGAGCACTAAGAGAGTCAATGAGTTTTTTTATAAATGCAAGGGGATATGCAACTCCGAGGAGGAGTTTGAAGAAACCTGATGTGCAATGATTCAGCTAGGAAATCTACATGACAATGCTTGGTTGAATAGTTTGTACAATATCAGACACAAGTGGGCAACAACATTCAATAAGGATATATTTGGGATGGGGATCCTTTCAACACAATGAAGTGAGTTAACAAATAACATCTGTCATAATGCCTCCAAGCCAACAAGCACCTTCATTGAAAGTTTCTTGGGTCTTGAAAATATCATGAAATCTTGGCGACGGAATGAGAAGTATGAAGATTTAAAATGTGAACAGTCTGCAATTGTTCCCGCTATAAAAAGTAGTCCCGTGTTGAGACAAAGTGCTTTAGTTTATATGAGTAAATTATATTCAATATTTGAAGCAGAGTTGCTATATGGTTTGTGTGGATTTGCTGTTGAGTGCTCAGCCACTGAAGATTCTTAATTTTACATCAGAAATTTAGATAGTGAACACACACGCAGACCCTGGATTATTAGAGTCGATAAAAGTAATTTTGACATTACTTGCAGTTGCAAAAAAATTGAAATTATTAGTTTATTATGTTCTCACACTCTAAGGGTGCTTAATCATGAGAATATAATAAATATCCGTGATAAATATATATTATTACGGTGGTCTGTTCATGCGAAGAGGGATATATATATATATATATATATATAACAGCTATGAGTATAAACATCTTAAAGATTCACAAACGTCACCAAGTTGCTCAAGTGGACTCATATATCGAACACACATTCATAAATTTGCATATCGGATCAATATATTAACGCAGGGCAATGAACTTGCTGAGAAAAACGTCCTGGAGACAATAAAGAAACTAACACTCGAATCAGAAGCCATACTGAATGGGAGAGTCCACCAGGAAATGCCAAGTTCAAAGAAGAAAAATACATCGAATATACAACATAATTTGAACGACCCAACAAAGATGCAACTAAAAGGAATATCTAATGCAAGGTTAAAAGACTTTTGGGAGAAGAACATGAGTGTAAGAAGTAAGCTTTACCAATAGTACTAATAAACATGTCTTCATGCTTGTTACTTTACAACTCCCTAACATGAAGCATTATATTACAGGAAATGATAAAGATGTTGGCTCAAGTCAAAATACATTTCATCCATCCTATCCAATTCTTTTTGTAATGTCGAATCGATATAGTCAGGTACATAACTTAATTCAAAACACTTTCTAATTTGTGAACTAATTTTGATTATAAGATTATACCTATTGACTTTCATTCATTTTTTGATTGCCCAAAATCAGGAGGAATTTCCTGCATCACTGCCTACAGACACATCTACGAGCTTATTTATGGACCTAAATGATCTCTGAAATATCAAAAAACTGCAACGAATGAACGTTATTGTTTGTTATTGTCGAATTAATGTAATTTTTGAAGTACTAAAATTGTTTGATATTTTACCAGTTGATTGGAATATTGATGAAGATACGATGATATAATATAGGTTTTAATAAAAAATTTTGCTTGTTTTTTAAAGTCTTTTTTGAATAGCATGCCTTGAATATTACCAAAATATTACCAAAATATTGCCGAAATACAATCACTATAAAACAACGCGCGTTAAGGAATATTTTCTGGCTTGATTAGAATATTTCTTTGTTGTATTCTCCACTCCGCGGTCGTATCTTGGTTCGTATCTTGGTTGTTCTATCTTGGTTGTTCCGATGATATATTCATAATATTAAGTTGTTATATATTTTTAATCGTAAAATGTGTCAAATTAAAAACAATAAGAGCTTATAATTATGATAATATTGTATAAATATAACAACAATAATATATGTTTGAATAAAAAATTTTGCTTGTTTTTTAAAGCCTTTTTTGAATTGTTTGCTTTGAATATTACCAAAATATTACCAAAATATTGCTGAAATACAACCACTATATGACAACGCGCGTTAAGGAATATTTTTTGATTTGATTGGAATATTTCTTTGTTGTATTCTCCACTCAGCGGTCGTATCTTGGTTGTTCCAATGATATATTCATAATATTAAGCTGTTATATATTTTTAATCGTAAAATGTGTCAAATTAAAAGCAACAAGAGCTTATAATCATGATAATGTTGTATAAATACGACAACAATGAAGATTAATTACATATTCGTGTATTTTGACATAGTTTGATCAATCACTAGCTATGTCTCAGATGATACCATGTATCTGCCATGATAATTTATCTGGGAGTCCGCTGGAAGAGGCTAAAAAAATTGTAAAACAATTGGAATACATATGTATTTTAGATGATATAAAACAATGTATAAAAAACTTCTTCCAAATAGCACATTGACAACACCGGGCTGATCTCCTAAAGTTGTTAGTGTCAGGACTAGTGATCTTTCTACTTTTTCCTCTTCAATTATTTGTTGTTCGTCCTCTGCAATGGGGGTTGTTAGTGTCAGAACTACTGATCCTTCTACTTTTCTCTCTTCAATTATTTATTGTTCCTCCTCTACAATGGGGGTTGTTAGTGTCAGTACTAATGCTCATTTTACTTCTTTGTCTACAATTGGGTCTTCAATGTTGCCCTCCCAACATTTGTATGTACAGCAGCATCCTCATCAGGTAACATAGGCTCATCAGCTTCTCTCATTACTTTTCTTCTCTTGAACTCGAAACCAGTGAAAGAAGAACTCGGTTTCTTCTTTCTTCTACTTCGTTTGCCCTTAACCCTTTGTATTAAGCTCAGAACGGACCGTTTATGGGAGCCTTCAACAGTGTCTCCTTCAAATGGGGAGGTTTATTGGGTTCCCTCTTCTCCCACAGAAGCTGACTTCCCTCTTCCTCCCTCTTCTCCCACAGGAGACAACTGTTGTGCTCCCTCTTCTCCCACAGAAGATGATAGCTGGGCTCCCTCTTCCCACACAGGAGACAATTGATGTGCTCCCTCTTCTCCCACAGGAAACGATTGTTGGGTTTCCTCAATATTGAACTCATTATATACAACATCATGAGGACTTCCAAAATGAGGGGAGGCTGCATGGGCATCATTTACTCCCACCTCTTCGCCTTTATTAGCTGAACTATTTTCATATTTATCAAACTTATTTTGTAGCATTGACATTTGCCCCTGCAAACTCGACACTCCAACAATTATTGTATTTAGGGTCCCCTGAAATTCAGTGAACCATTTCTCTTGCACTTTTAGCAGATAAATTATTGATTCCATGTTTTTATTCATTGTCGTGTACATTGTCTCCGGGGCAATGTCGCTTGAAACAATTGGCCCCATATCAAATGATACAGTTGCCTAAGGTCTGCCTTGGAATTCCGGTACTGAAACTGGACCGGGTAATCCTACATCTGGATTTGAGAGCAGATTGAGCTCATCCTCTTTCAGATCCAAAATTTGATCATGAACCTGCAATTTATTTCAAAAAAATACGCTTTAATCATTAAAACTCTCAAATAAACATAAGCTTTTATTTTTTAATAACAATTAAATGTAACTTGTTTGTTCAGTATTCAGCCTCTTAAAGACTATATCAATATGTGTTGCTTTCCAGCTTACAGTTGTTGGCCACCTCAACATTCTAGGTTTGGCCTTAAGAGTGGCAGGAGTAACCAAAGAAGTGTGCTCATAAAACCACAGTTGTGTAAAAGAAAAGTCATATTCAACTTTGCACAAAGAAATTAATATTTATTGACGTTTATACAAGATACTAACCGTTAGCGCAAAAAAAAACCGTTTATATATCCCAAAGGTTGGTTCCGCCTTATTTTAATAGCTACTGCATTAATTTGCTCAATAAGGAATTCACAGAGCGCAACATATCAATTAAATGAAAAAAATGTATGTACATTCTTGCCAAAGGTGTAAAGTCCTTTGGATATACTGAAATTGCTGGAAGTAAAGAATAAATTTGATAACAAATAATTTATATACAATTGATTAAAAGGGGTAGAAGACTCCCCGATTCCAAAGTTCAAAATATTATCCCTCATTTGGTGGGCATCCACACTACATGATAGAACTTTCTTCCACTTTTACACTTCTCCTCTATTTGACATGCCGATCAAAAAGGCAACTTCATCATTTTTAGCTCATATCTGATGCTTCAGATAGGGCAGACCTGACTTTATCGAGCACATCTCTCACTACGGACGACCATCATCTACAGTTTATGGACCATGGGTTCACAAACCTACATAAATCAAAATAATGCAAAAAATATTAGGTATATTCAAACCAACATAAATAAAAAAATGCAAAAAAAAATATTATGTATATTCAAGTAGTATAAATGAAATTATTATAATATTATTTAGATATTATTCTGGTATTATTTCGGGTGTATTATTGAGGTATTATTTCAGTTGTATAAATGAAATTAAAATTTATTCAATCTTCAGGTATTACTCAGGTAATATTTTGATAATATTAGGTAGTGTTAAGGTAATATTCAAGTGATATTGTTACTCAATAACAATGTGAGTTAAAATACTACTCAAATATTACTCAAATATTACTAAAATACTACTCAAATATTACCCAAAAACTGTCACTCTGAACTAAATACCTGAGTGATTTGTTACTCATATACTACTAAAATATTACTCCAATACTATATGGATGAATTTCTACACTCTGTTAACAATTTTGTCACTGAAAATACCAAAATAAAATTTACCTGGATTATCTCTCTTGAATTTCCTTCTTCTTACGTTTTTTTGCTTCTTTTTTCTTGGGTTTATTAGCCTCCATTGTCGATTCCACTTCGTTCTCCAATATCAACGACTCTTCTGTCTTCATTCTCACAAAGCTATTTTCGATTTCCGTCTGTCTCGGCTCGTATTCCATCTTCTTAAGGAGAAAGTGCGATTTTCCTTTGACCGACAAACAATAAAAACCCTAAACGATTGTCGAATGAATGCAGGTGTTGTGCGGGCTCGGGCGACATTTAGCTTTCCGATGATCTGACCTTTTTCTGAGGTGCGAGATTTAATTTTTCGTTGCATCAGGCTGGGCTCGGGCTGGGTCACGCAGTAAGAAAATAGGAATTTTATATTTTTTAATTATGGGACCTGCATTTTCCACGTGTTACATTTTTATTGGACACCCCACGCAAACTTGCGTGCGGTGTCCGCACAGAATAAACACTCAATATGTGTGATGACAACTTTCTAGGAGTGATCTGATTTTTTCAAAAAATAAAATTTATAATAGCCACCACAACTAATTTATTAGCTGTTTATTTAAAAAATTACAGCTCCCGAACAATCAGACCCTTAGATTAGCCCGTGTGCCGAGCTGGTCTTCTTCGTCAACGCCAGCCCCTTCAACTCCGCCACCAACGAATCCAGATCACGGAAAGAACTCCCGCGCTCAGTCGTCGCTTTTCTGGCCATTTCTCTCAGCTCAGAAGCCTTCCCAGAGATCTTCCCATTATTTTCACCTCCCACCTCCGCACCCAAAACCCTAGCCAGCTCCACAGCGTCCGGCACCGTTTCACTTCCGTCAGCCACGCGGACCGCCATCCCTGCTTCCTCCAGTAGCTGAGCGTTAATGAATTGGTCCGCTCCTCGCGGCCATGTAAACAACGCCACCCCTGCAGTCACAGCTTCAATCACCGAGTTCCATCCACAGTGGGTCAAGAACCACCCCACCGAAACATGGCCCAGAATCTCCACCTGCGGAGCCCATCCCTTCATCACAAACCCTAGCGGTGCCACTCTTTCATCAAACCCCGCTGGAATCTCCGTCCCCTCTCTGACGCACCAGAGAAATCGCACTCCGCTGAGCTCAAGCGCAGCCGATAACGCCGCCGATTGCGCGGGCGATAGCACGGCGTGGCTACCCAAG